CTGCTTTTATATAGGATTATTTGTCTTTTAGATCAATAGACTGATTTTAATTCACTAAAATAATTCAAGATGACTTGGCATTTATTACCTTGTTATAAAGTACACGCACAGTACGTTGTTTGTTACCGGTTTTTAAAGGCACTTGTCGAAAGACACTTGGCCTGGTGTGTGTGTGTGTGTGTGTGTGTACTCACCTATTTGTGGTTGCAGGGGTCGAGTCATAGCTCCTGGCCCCGCCTCTTCGCTGATTGCTACTAGGTCCTCTCTCTCCCTGCCCCATGAGCTTTATCATACCTCGCCTTAAAACTATGTATGATTTCCGCCTCCACTACGTCACTTTCTAGGCTATTCCAAGGCCTGACTACTCTATGACTGAAGAAATACTTCCTAACATCCCTTTGATTCATCTGAGTCTTCAACTTCCAATTGTGACCTCTTGTGTCTTGTGCTCTTTATTTGTGATTGCAGGAGTCAAGTCACAGCTCCTGGCTCTGGCTTTTATGGGTTACTCCCTAAGATCCTCGTAAGCCGCGTCAAACCTTTGCAAAAACACAAGAGGTTACTCACTTGATGTGCGCCTCAGGCGACATGCTCGGTGCTATGCATACCCCGAGGTCCTTCTCCATGATCAGGATGGGTATGGGGTGCATAATGAAGATATTAAACTAACTTCTCCACGAGTAAAGTGTACAGCCTCTGTTTCCGGTCTTTTTACCCCGCTAGTTTGTTTCCAAAGTCTTGCATTTGTTGAGATTGAAATCACTCAAATCGCTCAGTAGAGTGCAGGTATAATATGAGGGACCTGGGAGTGATACTGTCAGATGTCACGTTCAAGGTGCACAACAATATCTTTATCTAGGTAGATAACTAGAATTTTGCAAACAAGATGTGCCAAGCCAATGATGGCACTCTTCAAGTCACTCGTTCATTCTAGGCTGGGATATTGTGGTGTACTAATGTCCTCCCTCAAGGCAGCCTTGCTGTAGAGCTGGAAAATGAGAGAACCTCCACAGCTCTTGTAAACTCGGTCAAGTACTTTACTGGAAGAGCTCAAAATCCCTAGACTTATACTCCATAGAAGGCGAGAATAATAATAATAATAATATTATTTATTTCTATAAGTACACGATATAATTTATACAGACATAGCTGACGTCATTGACAGACTATTTAGAAAGCCCCTTGCTATGCATCATTTCCCGTAACTTAGGGTACTCTTGTCCCCTAAAGTGTGACCAACACCAGTCAACTAACACACAGGTACCTACTTGCTGCTAGGTGAACAGGGACAGCAGGTGCCTCAAGGAAACACGCCCAATATTTCCACCCCTACCGGGGATCGAACCACGGACACTCAGCGTGAGAGCCGAGTGTACTGTCAACCGAGCTATGAGTGTGTGTGTGTGTGTGTGTGTGTGTGTGTGTGTGTGTGTGTGTGTGTGTGTGTGTGTGTGTGTGTGTGTGTACTCAACTAATTGTACAAATTTAATTGTGGTTGCAGGGGTCGAGTGTGTGTGTGTGTGTGTGTTCACATTTATATAAGTATGTGCGTGTTTAAGCTGTATTACAACTGCCCACTAATTCCTGTAATGTTACTCAATAAATCAAATGATTATCCTCTGCAGTAGAAAGTAAAGCTGCTGACTGACACCCCAAGACCACCCTGCTTATTACCTGAGCGCGCGCGCGCGCGCTCACACACACACACACACACACACACACACACACACACACACACACACACACACACACACACACACACGTGTATGTAAAGACTATGTATGCTGCCATCGATGGAGTGATCTTAGGACTAACACAAACACCTTATAATTGAAATGGTTTAGTAACTAAACTAAAAAAATAATTTAAATTCTTTTTAGGGGAAACATCAGTATTTGTTTATTTTTTGGTTAGGTATCATTACTAGCTCCCACTGTATCACTGTACCAGTGATGGTCTCTTCTGTACCTGTATCACTGTACCAGTGATGGTCTCTTCTGTACCTGTATCACTGTACCAGTGATGGTCTCTTCTGTACCTGTATCACTGTACCAGTGATGGTCTCTTCTGTACCTGTATCACTGTACCAGTGATGGTCTCTTCTGTACCTGTATAACTGTACCAGTGATGGTCTCTACCTGTATCACTGTACCAGTGATGGTCTCTTCTGTACCTGTATCACTGTACCAGTGATGGTCTCTACCTGTATCACTGTACCAGTGATGGTCTCTTCTGTACCTGTATCACTGTACCAGTGATGGTCTCTTCTGTACCTGTATCACTGTACCAGTGATGGTCTTTCTGTACCTGTATCACTGTACCAGTGATGGTCTCTTCTGTACCTGTATCACTGTACCAGTGATGGTCTCTTCTGTACCTGTATCACTGTAACTGGTCTTTACTGTACCTGTGATGATGTTCCTCTGCCTGTTGCACACCAACTTTCTCACCCCAGCCCCTGTGATTGACGCTCTTTGAGTGTTCCGTTCTTCATAAATTATAGTCTTATGTTATGATTGACTTTCCTGTACGTGTATTCGCCTAATTGTACTCGCCTAATTGTGGTTGCAGGGGTCGATACTCAGCTCCTGGCCCTGCCTCTTCACTGGTCACTACTAGGTCCTCTCCTTGCTCCATGAGCTTTATCATACCTCGTCTTAAAACTGTGTATGGTTCCTGCCTCCACTACATCACTTACCAGACTATTCCAGTTCCTGACAACTCTATAACTGAAGAAATACTCACTAACATCCCTTCGACGCATCTGAGTCTCCAGCTTCCAATTGTGGCCCCTTCTTTGTGTCCCATCTCTGGAACATCCTGTCTCTGGCCACCTTATCTATTCCTCGCAGTATTTTGTATGTCGTTATCATGTCTCCCCTAACCCTCCTGTCCTCCAGTGTCGTCAGATCGATTTCCCTTAACCTTTCTTCATAGGACATTCCCCTTCGCTCTGGAACTAGCCTTGTTGCAAACCTTTTCACTTTCTCTTACTTCTTGACGTGCTTGACCAGGTGTGGGTTCCAAACTGGTGCTGCATACTCCAGTATGGGCCGGACGTACAGGGTGTATAGAGACTTGAACGATTCCTTACTGAGGTATCGGAATGCTATTCTCAGGTTTGCCAGGCGCCCATATGTTGCAACAGTTATCTGGTTGATGTGTGCTTCCGGAGACGTGCTCGGTGTGTGTGTGTGTGTGTGTGTGTGTGTGTGTGTGTGTGTGTGTGTGTGTGTGTGAGACACTTGTACCTCCAAATACTTCAACCTGTACAGTCAGCCTCTGTCTGTGTAGCTCTCTCTCCCTCATACCTCCAGGTACCTCTATGTGTGGCTCGCTCTCTCTCCCTCGTACCTCTAGGTACCTCAGCTTCTATGCTCTACCATTGTTTGTGTGTGTGGTTCACTCTCATACCTGCAGATACCTCGACCTGCTCTTCACCTCTGGAGGGATAATAGCACATGCCAGGACGTTGTGCGAAATTATGTGGTTCTTGTGGCCAGCCAGCAGAGCTGGGAAGAAGAGAGGGGGGAACAGAGAATGGAAGAAGAGGGAGGGAAGGAGGAAGGGTTAGAAAGAGAATTTCACTGAAAGAGGAGATAACTTAAGCCTAGTGGTATACGCAGGCGTCATTCCTAATTAAACTATACGTATTTCAGTCGCTGCGCAATCCGGGGAAGGTATTCCCGTATACCATAATCCAAGTCCCGTGTGACTCAAGGCACGCGATTGGAATAGTGCAGATTATTATTATTATAATCAAAAAGAAGCGCTAAGCCACAAGGGCTGGAATAGTGCAGAGTGCGGCATAAGTTGATAATATCAGTTCAATATTAGCCTTGAAGATTTGAAGGAATCAGAAGAGGCATTCACAAGTCATCATATGGAAACTAATATCCAAATTTCTTCCATAAAAACCACAAATTATGCCAGATACGGTTCAAATCTAGTTCAAAACTTTTTAAGAGATCAATATCTTTAAAAACACAAGCTGTTCGAAAGTTGCATTATCAAGTCATCAGTATGGAAGGCTGAAATTATAGCAAGAAAACCAGTATTTCAAATTTCTAATTTCTTCCCCCCCCCCCAAGAAAAAAAAAAGCTAATTGTTACCTACTAAAATCAGCCCAAACTTTTCTCTAACACTGACTAATTTTAAGGTCAGTAAGTAGGATTTATGTAATCCTAGTGTAATGTTTATAACATTTGTGTGCCCTTAAACATACAAATGTTTAAGGGCACACACATGTTATAAAAACATAAGAGAAAATTAAGTTGATTTAACCTAGGATAACCAAATAAAGTCAAACACTTTGATGTATTTCTGACCAGAAGAGACGTTCTCGCCTCCCTCAGAGCCACGGTCTGTGAACTCACTTTAAGTCGTAATGAACGTCTCTCACTGAATAAACAGAAGGTCAGACGAGAGGCTCGAACAGTGGTCCCGAAAATAATTGGTCTTGCGCTTTACCGCTGAGCTACGGGGCTTCTGAGAGAAAAGTTTCACAGAAGGCGCAGCTGTGTCCTGTGCCTTAGACTGTAGCTTTGACGGAGGTGAGGATAAATTTACTGTGAAAACTGCTGTGGTTGTGGGAAAGAACAGTAGAGTTACAGACGGTAGCCACTAACACAGACAGGACACAGCTATACCTTCTGAGAAACTTTCCTAATACAACGCTTGTAGCTTAGCGATAGAGCGCTGGACCTGTTAATCTCGGGACCTCGGTTCGAGCTCCACGTTCACCTTTCTGTGTATTCATTGACAGTAGTTAATTACGACTCAAATTGAGATCAAATAATTAATATATATATATATATATATATATATATATATATATATATATATATATATATATATATATATATATATATATTTATTTATTTATTTATTTATGCAAATGTAATTAAAAGTGTGTAGGTTTTTTTCTGCTGTCTTACTTGTTGGTGAGGCAGAAAGAGAAGACCAGCAGTCCTGCTAAAGTGGAAATCTCACATTGTAGGAAGAAGAGGGCGTCTGAAGGTGGTGTTGGTTGTGGGTGGATCTGGCAAGAACCAAACCAGATGTCACTGAATACAACCTCGACCAGATAACCTTGCCAGAGTGCAGGACTCGCAGGTATGTCGAGGTGCCAGGGGAATGCCATCTTGCACTCCTCAAAGCCATACATGGAACATTAGTCCTACTGTGATGGCTGGTCATAGATATTCGGTGGTCAGTTATGGATGAAGACAGGCCTCGATAATCCATTAGGCACAATAGCCGAAGTGCCCAGGGCTGACGAAGGAGCATAAACTATCGTAGTCATAGCATCAAAGTAGTCTGTGTTATTATGAGCCTACAAAATATTTCACTCCGGTTCTGATAACACCTGTGTAATACGTTGTAATTATTTATCTGTAGCTGTTACTTGTGGGCCCACGATTTTGAGAGGTTAGTAACACCAAAAACTTCAGAACATAAAGAAGGAACACTGCAACAGGCCTACTGACCCATGCGGAGCAGGTCCATGTCCTCCCCCCCCTGGATAGGCCCAATGACTCCCCCCCCTCCTCCGGATTAGCCCAATGATCCACCCAGTCTGGTCACCTCCACTCGAGGAAGGAGCACGGCACCAGACCCAGCAGCACAAGCTAGCCAGGTCCAACTCACACCCACCCACACCCACTCGTGTATTTATCTAACCTAATTTTAAAACTACACAACGTTTTAGCCTCAATAACTGTACTCGGGAGTTTGTTCCACTCATCCACAATATTACCAAACCAGTGCTTTCCTATATCCTTCCTAAATCTGAATTTTTCCAACTTGAAACCATTGCTGCGAGTCCTGACTTGGCTGGAAATTTTCAGCACGCTATTTACAGCCCCTTTATTTATTCCTGTTTTCCATTTATACACCTCGATCATATCCCCCCTAATTCTACGCCTTTCGAGAGAGTGCAGATTCAGGGCCCTCAGTCTGTCCTCATTGGGAAGATTTCTGATACATGGGATCATCTTTGTCATCCTCCTTTGTACGTTTTCCAGAGCATTTATATCCATTCTGTAATACGGTGACCAGAACTGAGCAGCATAGTCTAAATGAGGCCTAACCAAGGATATATAGAGTTGAAGAACAACCTGAGGACTTCTATTATTTATACTTCTAGATATGAAGCCAAGAATTCTGTTAGCTTTATTGCGAACACTAATGCACTGTTGTCTTGGTTTTAGATTACTGTTAACCAGAACTCCTAAATCCTTTTCGCAATCAGTAGTATTAAGATCTACATTATTTAGTTTATATGTGGCATGGTTGTTTAAATGTCCTTAAACTGCATCTGTCACTTCTCCGACCATTGCATCAGTCTGTTCAAATCCTGGAGTGCTCTAGTGTCCTCATTAGAATGATTGGACGGCCTATTTTGGTGTCATCAGCAAATTTGGTTATGTCGCTATTTATTCCCTCATCTATGTCGTTTATGTAAATTGTGAACAACAATGGGTCCAACACCGACCCCTGAGGAACACCGCTTGTGACGTGCCCCCATTCTGATTTCTCCCCATTTATACAAACTCTCTGCTGCCTATTTGTCAGCCATGCCTCTACCCAGGAAAAAATTTCTCCTCCTATTACGTGTACCTTAAGTTTCCTCAATAGCCTCTTGTGTGTAAGGGCTAGACTTTGTATTGTTTAAATTAAGGTTGAATTAATGTATAGATCAATATATGGAGTTGGGGGAATAAGATAATATATTCCATGAATCACAGCAAAATAGATCTTCTGTAAGATTTTCAACTTATAAGAATATTTTTCACTTTCTTGTAAAAAATACAGTTTTTCTCTTGTTTTTTTTATATGGTAATACCTCACTATCTAAATTAAATACCAAAACTTCATTAAAATCTGTGAGGTTTGACAATTTGCTTGTTTCTTATTAAACCAAAGCTAGGTACCCGGGTACCCAATTTTGGTTAAAAAAGAAACATAAGAACTAGAGAGCTTCTCTTAAATACAGTGTTATTAAAAACACACACACACACACACACACACACACACACACACACACACACACACACACACACACACACACACACACACACACACACACACACACACACTATATATATATATATATATATATATATATATATATATATATATATATATATATATATATATATATTATTTTTATTTTTTTTTATTTTCAGGTATGTTCAACTGGACTCTCTAAATGAGATGGGTGTCCATGGAGCGTAGCAAAGGTGAGTGCTTATGGTAGTTGTGGTGGTGCTGCTGGTATCAGTGGAGGATCTTGATGTTAGCGGTGCTGCTGGTGTATTGGGGGATCCTGATGTTAGTGGTGCCGTTCGTGTTGGTGGATGATCAAGGTGTTAGTGGTGCTGCAGGTGTTGGTGGGGTATCCTGATGTTAGTGGTGCTGTTGGAGAATCCTAATGCTGCTCCTGTTGGTGGGGGATCCTGATGTTAGTGTTGCTACTGGTGTTGGTGGAGGATCTTGGTATTAATGGTGCTGCTGGTCTTGGTGGAGGGGGGGTTCCTGATGTCAGTACTTCTGCTGGTGTTAGTTCTTTAAAAATGCAAACCATCCTTAACGCACCTGTTGTATATGACGATCCTTGCAGTGAACATAACCAGTCATACATTAGAAAAAATGGTACAGATCTAACCACAAAAGTACCTAAACATAAAATGTCTTTCAGATATGCGTAAGAAATTCAAGAAATTTCTCACCATGTTAAGAACCGTAACCATAATACTAACTGAAAGACTGTTGCTCTAATAATAGTAATTGTCTGTGTGTTTGTGGAAATTAACCAGAAAGACTGACTTCGGCTTGCATCTGAGGCCCTCATCAGGAAAGCACAGATGTGGAGAAGGCGGTGATTTTTCAGTCACAGGTGGACTCCGCCTGTCACTTATTAGAAAGAGAAAGTCAGGTTTACTTAAGGTAAGCTTGGGGTATTAATTTACTCTGAGCATACTCACTGCGTCCAGTATACTCGGCGAATGTTAATGTTTGAATTGTTATTTGTTAGCTGATTCGATTATCTTCTTTCATAATGATTCTTTTGGGAGGAAATGATATAATTCTACCAGTGAATATGGTGATCCAACACCAGCAACATTAGAATTCTCCAGTAATATAGTGATCAGTATTCCTCAGGTGTTTCAACAAAGCGAGGCTGTCCTGCCCACATCTGACCGATTTTTCGGGTTCCACAATCTTGGATTTCACTGTTTCTTGAGATCTGACTAAAGTAAACCTTTTGAGAGTTTTCTGTTTTATTGTTGTTAAGCTCCGTAAATATTTTGTAATCCATTACTCTCTCTTTCAGTACCAGTCTAGTTGCGAACTTTGGATCTTTTTAAGTTTGATCGGGTGGGGGTGGGGGGGGGAAGCTGTTTTAGGACCACGTAAACACCAGCCTAACTTTTGTTGTACATCATGATCGAAATAAATTTTTAATGTTCATATCAATAACTCGGTTCACTTTATTCCTGTTGCACCTTTTTTACTGTAGATGATTTACACACAGTTGAGTTACTTAGCTGTTTTAATTTTTAAGGTTATAATAATGACCGATTTCCACTGTACCAAAGCTAGGCTTTAATAATAAGATATTACAAGAACCCCAATGGAAATAAGTCACTTCGTCTGACCTTTTTGGATTATCTTAGATAATTTACACACATGTTACTACGTATGATGATTGTAATCATCTAAATTTTTGTAACTGCATTTATGTGTACCTGTACATAAATAAATTTACTTAAGATAAGCAGTTCTTAGACCATGTAATTTACATACGCCTTCGAAATTATAGAGTTAGGTGCTTGGTGCAGTGGTTACTCCCAAAGCTTTCCGTATGTTGTCTACAGCATTCCAACTCTTAAGTTGTGTTCAGTGTCTAATCTTCAAACTTCCTCTTAATATTTTGCACTAAATGGGATTGAATTCAAGTTCTTACATTCCTGTGTACTGGCCTAATTGTGGTTGCAGGGGTCGATTCACTGTACTCACCTAATTGTGGTTGCAGGGGTCGATTCACTGTACTCACCTAATTGTGGTTGCAGGGGTCGAGACTCAGCTCCTGGCCCCGCCTAACTGTGTGTGTGTGTGTGTGTGTGTGTGTGTGTGTGTGTGTGTGTGTGTGTGTGTGTGTGTGTGTGTAGGGCGTGGTAAACATTCCCCAGCAAGGCCAGAGCAGGTGTGAGTTGCTGGACAGGGTGAGAGGGTCGAGAGAAGGGGTGAGGTGGGTTAAGGTGGGACGGAGAGCACTTGTTTAAGGGTCATTGCCCACGAGGTCACTTTAGTGATCCTGATGCTTGAAGTTGTGTCCTTGTGTTATCAAAATAACTTTTCCCTTATCTCTTGTAACAATTTGGCAAGACAATCAAAATCAAGTATCTCCACTGGTCAACCTCAAGTACTCCTGGCAAGTTCTATATGGATTTCTGGAAAACGGTTTGCAACAAATTTCTGGATTTACTTTAGGTTAGGTCATTCTTAATTTGATTGTCGTCTATCGAAAAAAATTATCAATTGTAAACGCACCACAATAAATAAATGTAATATAAAGGCGATAAAAATTTCTGACGAGCGAAAAAAAAAAATGGGGAGCCATCGAGAACAGAAAGAGCTGTCATATATAATCACATTTAAACAGTCATCCATCTGTCTTAGCAACAGTTGTATCTTTTTTGAGAGAGAGAGAGGATGGGGTGAAATCACAAACTGGGGTGAATGCTACAGTACTGTCTTTGAAAAAGGCATAGGTAGATATTGAAGGTCATGGAGAAAAGGCTTCCAAGAATTGTTCCTTGTCTTCAATGGATAAATTTCTCAACCCCAACAAAAATTCCTCGGCTCCAACATAAATTCTTGAGTCGCAACAAAAATTCTATCAAAATCACTAAATGCTTTCAGAGTTCTCGCCTGACTGGTGGCGGTGCTACCGAGGTCATGCTAAAGACGAATTGATATCCACGATAAAGATGATTTATCTGACCCAGCAGGCGCAGGTTATGTTACTACCTGATGAGTTATGCCACAGGAGACCAAGAAGCCATGACCAGCTGCAAGCTGCACAG